TAAGTTTCATAATCCCAAACATATCCATTTTAATAAAATGATGTTATATTTAGATGAAATATCTTTTTTACATTTTCAAACAATGTAATGTATGTAAAGAATTTTTAAAGCAGTTTTTCTTAAAATATACTGTTAATGAAAATTTACAGTTTAAGCTGGGTGCTGAGTTTTCTTCAGGGGCTGTAATGTAGACTAAGATTGTTTATCCTATGGCATCAGTTTTAAAAATCAGTGCTAAAGGAAATAAGTGTAGTTATTACTGACTTCTCTGCTTCACTTGCCCTGAATGTTTTGACCTGTGCTTGATTTTAGAAAGCTCCATATTTAACTCCTTCTCCTGAAGCAGGTTTTGCTGAACTGCTGAGCCTTGGCAGTGGGCGCCTTTGAGGCTTAGAAGTGCCTCAGGATTCATTCGGCCGGCTGCCATGCTTACTTCTTTTGAAGCACTATAACAGTCAGCAGAGAAGATCCTGGGGAGCTTCTGAACCCCGAAGGCACCTGCTACCACCGCTCAGTGAAAATTGCTTCAGATGCAGAAGCAGGTAAATTACATTTTGAGAAAGCAACACCGGAAGAAAAAAAAAACAACTAAGAAAAGATTGTGTCAATTTACAGTTTACATCAGGTGATAGTATAAAGAATAAATTGAAGTATAATAGTTTATTAGTCTCTTAAGCTACTTTGCTGGTTGCTCTAGTTTTGTTTTGTTTTTAGTTGCCAGAAATATGAAGCAGTTTAATTTTGCAAAGATTTTGCATATCTATTATATATATGGAAGCTCATTTTCGTTTTACAAATCTGAAGAGAAAAACAAGTCACTTATCAGCTCAACTTATTGCAACTCTTCCTTTCTTAGCTAACTAAACAGAAGAGGAGATCTTTAGAAATAGTGGACCGTTGTATTAGATGAGCACAGTAGCCTTTGGCATGGTTTCCTAATTTTAACTGCTGCGTGACAGTACTCCAAAGTACAAAACAAAAGTTTTATTTTCTTGAGATCATAAGAATGAAAAATATTATGGAAAGTAATTTATGGATGTGAGGAAAGGAGTTACATGGAGTATTTGGTATGTTTTTGCAGCTGAATGTATCAGTAGTTCTCTTCTTCTTTTGTAGGTTTCCAAGCAACAATCAGTGCTCCGCACATGGTAAGTTAACTTTGGTTATTTGGGTGGGTACTAATGGATCACATTTTCCTCTACGATTGTTTTCTTCCATAAAAAGGTTTAAAGAAAGTTTTAAAC